ACGGGCACATGCGCGTGCACACGGGACAACGACCGTATGGCTGCGACGAATGTGGAATGACCTTCAACCACAATTTTAGCTTGGCCCGTCACAAACGCACTCACACAGGGGAGCGCCCGCGACGTGTGTGGAAAGGCTTTCATTTCGTCCAGCGCTCGCGATGTTCACAGGCGAATTCACACGGGCGAGCGACCCTTCCAGTGTAGTGTTTGCGGAATGACTTTCTACCAATCTAGCTCCCTCTCATACCACTTACGTACGCACGTGGGGAAGTGACTGTAAACTTGTAACGAAAGAAGAATTTCGTCAATGCAATGGCCTCATTTTGGCAAGAGCAAGGCAGGCTGGGTCTTCGCGGTTTTTTATTGAAGAACTTCGTCGGCCTCTGTCTCTCCTTTCCGCATGCGTCTTCAAGTTGGATGAGCCGCCGTGCTGTACTCCCGAGAAAATACGTGCCGGGCAGTTGCTGAAAACGAATATGTTCTGTTCATACAAAATTATTTTAGCGATACAAGCAAAATTCGGGAAATTTATGTGCGAAATATATATTTTAGAGAAGGTTTAAAATAGCAGGAAATACTTAGATTCTGAAAATGTAAGATCTGCATCATTTTTCGCGTTTTCTAAGAATGCCAAAGGTACACTGCCCGTGACCAAATGTAAATTTTGGGAGTACATTTTCTGAACTTTCAATTCATATTTCGATATTTTGCCACCAATTCTGATTATGGTGGAATAATCTGATTTTAAGATCAAATTTGTCCAACATGTATATGAATATGGATTGTTATGTAATTCTTGTTAATAAATAAATGTTCTAAATTCAGATTTAATTTTTTTCTTTTTATGTGTTGTAATGCAGGGGATGTGTTAATTAGGCGAGCGTGTAATACCGATGTATATGGAAGTAATGCAGACATTTCTAAGTGTGCTTTTTTCTTCTCCTTCAAGAGCGAATTCTTCTCATAGTAATAATTTAATCTTCTAATAATAATTAATAGTATTCTATTTGTAAAAGTATTAATTTTATTGGTAGTAAGTAATATTGATTTCTGCATTACCTTTTTACACAGTTAAACAAACAAAAAATAAAAGAGTGAAAAAATGCAATGGATTTGCTTGTACATAGGAACTGAGTACAAAAAGGAGAAAGATACATGCCCAATAAAAGAATAAAATGACAAAGAAAATTGATTTCATGTAAAAACAATTCGTAATATTATTACTGAATGGTATTATTATTACTAATGTTACCTATCTTTCTTTGGTCATTCTAGAAATTACCAAATCAGAAAAAATATTTCGTTTGTTAGGATACAATTCATTCTCTAGTGAACAATATCCTTTTTGACAATGTTTAAAGTGAAACTGTACTGTTACTTGAAACTGAGACCAATTACCAAGTTATTAAAAATTCTCCAGCTTGTAATGTAATTATTTCTTTTGAAATATTCTATCGATAGTAATAATGTATTTAATGAAACATTACTTTTAATTTAGTGTATAAAAATAATACAACACCAACTTCGTATGTATTCGGGGGTTGGTTCTAATTTTGCAAAATATGCGTAATCAAAAACGTAATAGCTGGCAAATAATATTATCACACCTTCAATAACGTCTTTACAAATTATTGGAACCCTTTTTTCTGGCTCACAGTCATTTATTTTGAACTTACTATATTACACTCATTTCCTGAATTTCACTTCTTTGACTTGATTTGTTCGGTCCATAATCTTTAAACAGTCACTTGCAATATGCAGCACATCCATCAAGAGGTGGAGACTAACAAATTTCACATTTCATGAAGAATATTAATAATGAAAATATTATTAAATAAATAATACTAATTAACATTAATCAGACCTTTACCTTAACAAATTCAATATTCCTGAATTGCTTTAGCTTCTGTTGATGTTAACCGCCAACAGCTCTTGGAAACTGCTGTAATGAGAACAGCAAGTGAAGAATAACATTTTCATTGGCTTTCATATCTGAAAGTTATGACGCTTCTTTTATTTTGCACACGTGTTAAAGTTTGCACAAGTCTGCTATTACTCTAACACGCAAAATTACTCGACTACAAGAGCTCCAGAATCCGAATAAAACTGAAACGCAGAGTACCTGTGTTCCCGCTCGACAATCAGCCTACTTTCAGAAGTTACCAGGTCGGTTAGGGTCCACGCCCTTGGAAAGGGTTCGGATTTCTCCGCTTTATGCTCCTAAAATAAAGCATTGGGAAGCACGCAGCCCCAAAAGAAGATGCAATTTACCAAGTATCCACTTTTTCCATCGGCGAATTTTGATCGTTTAAATACAATATTAAACTAAATGCTTTTGTGGAAATATGATAAATTATTGTAAAGAGTAGAATATGAAGTTCAAACAATTAGACGTTTTTTTTAATCATAACATTTTTCAGTTATAGAAATATGAAACAAGTTTATAAAAAATAAAACTGTTTCAAAATAAAATCCTGAATTTTTGTTACGTTTTCGCGACGTCGGCAATGGTTAGAAGCAATGTTAGTATATGAAAATGCAACATTGTTTAGGGAGTTGCAACGCGACGTGAACGGATTGCTGCCAGCGTTGCGACTCATTTAAATAAAGTGTAGAAAATAAATACGCTCATTATGAAAGCATTTGGGGAAATGTGATGGATTACGATAACTTACTCCCCCACTCGCTGAGGGGAAATTTATAACATTTGTGGAAGATAATTTGAAATGACGGCTCAGTTATCGGGGAATCAGTTGTGAATATTTGGCTGAATTTGACAGAATTGTAAACTAAAGAATGAACGTGCTATGTTGGTCTCTAGAATTTCATTATATATTTGATGTTAATTTGAATGTAAATCCGAATTTTAAAAGTTAATTTTTAGTATACATGTGGAGATAATATTTTAAATTTATTATACGTTAGTTCAAATGGTGGAAATAAATAATTTCTAAGTTTTAAAAACTATTTATGTTCCATGTGTTCCACAATTAAAAATTAATTGACAAGAACATAAAAATTTAATTCAACGTTATTTTAATTTAACATTAAATTTAACGTCAAATTATATTAATATCTTTTTAATGTAAATGATGTATTAAGTTTCATGTACTGATGTACATTCAATCTACATAGATTTCAATTTAACATTAAACATTATATTTAATGTAATTTAATTTCGTTTTAATGTACGAGGTGCATTAAGTTTCGTGTACAGTCATACATTAAATTTACATTGATTTTAATTTAAGCATTTAATTTAATATACAAATACATTAGTCTCCCTTTAATGTACAATGTACATTAAATATTAAATGTACATTTCAATGTACAATTCAATGTTCATTAAAGATTCATGTCCTATCGTACATTAAATCTACATTAAATTCGATGTAATGTTTGACAGTTTAGTTTGAAAATCATGAAAATAAAAAAAAGGGGAAAGATAGCTCTTTATTTCCAGTCATTTAGTAGTTAGAAGCGTATTAAATATTACCAGTTAAAATGTGACTCCTGGCACCGAGAAGCTCGTCATTGTTTCTGGCGGGCGTCCGCTTACAATTTTCAAAGGACAGAATATCACACACGCCTTATCATACCATGGCCTCCCCCTATGAGGGCTGAAGAAAATACTTTTGATTCACTTATATCCATCACGGATGGGGACCCCTCGAAGTCGATTTTCTTCCTGGCACCATTCTAATGCTTCAGTAGCGAGACTTTGTTGTTGTGCTCTACGGCGGTGAACGTGAGATACGCAACAAAGCACCAGGCCTCCGGGACGACTGGGAATACTTTGCGATGATTGATTAGTGCCTTCGGCATGTTTCTTCCATACGTCACACCCAGCCGTCATTGTCTCCGGAACTTCTGTATTTATTCTTCAAATGATTTTGTGATTTTCTCCCTACAAAACATTGTGGTTTGTGTATTTGCTTTACAATAATCAAAATTAGATGACTTGTATAAATTTCATTGCCTTGAAAATGCACATATAGTCGTGAAAATATAACGAAGAGATTCATTTCAGCTGAAAAAAAAACAGATTGTTTCATATTATTTCACAATAAAAGAAGCCATTGCCGTTTTGTCCTGAAAAACAGATAAAGGTTGAAATTGTGTTTTGGAATTTTTCTATTTCTATGTCGTCCACCTGTCACCGCAATTGGCATGGGCATGTCAAACACTCGAACAGCTGTTGTAAACTTTGAGACTTATACATCACATGCATCATAATTAATTTACTTATAACAATCATTAGGCTAGTTTGAAATCAGCAAACAGCTGAGAAGTGAAAGATGAATAATATGAATGATGAAACATCAGAATACCTTAAATTAATACCTAATTTGTATTTTGATTTACTGTAGAAGTGTATCGGTGCATTTTCTGTCGCAGGGTTGCAGGGGAGCAAACATGTGTTTCTTTCCATGCAGCATTTATTGTAACTTTTTTGTGCGGTTTTTTTATCGTTTTCTTCTACGCGTGCTCTCTAACTGGTCTACGCATGATGAACTTCTTACTCTGCTTAAAAATGTGTATTTACTTGGCTTAAAGGGAGAAATTCGTGGATGTGGATCTCTGACCGCCCCTCGCCCCCCCCCACACATACACACACTCACCTTGTTACTGTAGAAGCAAAGAAGCCCAAAATTTCTCCCTTGTGTTTATATCAGAAAGGAGACAGCAAGACTCTCAACTATTTTCATTTCGTGTAATATCGCAGTTGAGTGCTATAATGATAGATCGACACTTAAAAAATCACTTCTTTTCGGGCTTAGTCTATCCTCGGCACTCTGGATGAATTGATGCTTAATGTTCGCCTTGTCAGCACATACATATTCTCTCTCTCCCCCCCTCTCTCTCTCTCTCACACACACACACACACACACACACATACACATACAAGATTCATCTAGTCATTGCTTAAGTTGTGCCCACGGCTTGTCAACTGTGCTTGGCCGCCTGCGGTAGCCAGTTGCCGTGCCTAAGTGGCCCATGTCAAAACAGAGACCGTTCGGTGAGACGACTTTGCGTGGTTGTGCAGGCGCATGGGGCCCTCCAACGCTGCCGGACCAGGAGCTGAGGCAGAACTTGAGGTGCAGCGAGTGCGGCGCCACCTTTAATACATCCCAGAGACTCACGCGTCACATGGATCTGCATAGGAGGGATCTGCCGAATAAGTGCGACTTATGTGGCGCAAGTTTCGCTCGGAAAGATCACCTCCACCGTCACCAGCGCGTGCACACGGGGCAGCGACCGTTCAGTTGCGACGAGTGTGGAATGACCTTCAACCAGACTGGCAGCCTCGCCCGTCACAAGCGCACTCACACCGGGGAGCGCCCGTATCCGTGCGACGTGTGCGGGAAGGCGTTCATCTCGTCGAGCGCTCGAGACGTGCACAAGCGCGTGCACACGGGCGAACGACCGTACAAGTGCGATATTTGCGGAGTGGCTTATGTCCACTCAAGCGGCCTCGCTTTTCACTTGGGCAGACACGCACTGGCCGGAGATAACCCGTGAGCGTGCGCCGGTTGAAAGGATTTCGTCGGGGTTCACCGCCCCCGAGTTGTGCCAGTGCTCCTCGCGCGAGAGCGGATCTGAACTACTTCTGAACTCGCGGCGCATATTGGGATGATGAGCATTGAGCGCCCGCTCGCTGCCTCCGACGCAGGTCCAGGTCGAGCGCGATGCTCGCCAACGCACTTGGTTCTGCGATAGGGCAGATGCCTACGACGGAGCAGAAATAGAGCCCTGGCTGTTTACCGTGCTTGTAGCAGAACGTAGGCCTGGCGGATAAAGTGTATGTGGTGGGTAGTTGACCTCACTCGAAAAATTTCGAGAGAGTAAAATACCCACTCGGAATTTGGGGTGAGGGAAAGATTGCATAAACGTCAGATTCCAGAAATAAAGTTTCTCGGTATAACATCGACTCTAAACGTATATGTAATTAACTATTTTGCAAGCATATTTTACATTGCAAAAATGAACTGTTGTACTTACATAAAATAAATGTGGTAACAATTTGATGATAATTATAATAAAAATGACAATTTTAAAAATTGTTTTGTATTTTTTCCTTCAAATATATTTTTTCAACTACCCACTCGGACTTAACACGAGTCGCCGGTCCTGGCGGAACGAAGGGACGTTTTTACAAACACGTAAAAAAAGTAATTTCCAGTGTTTAAATTTTATCGGAGTTTTTGTGCTGGTGACATTTATTCACAAAAATATAGTTCGCAACAGAACGGCGTCTGAATTAGAAAGATTGTGAGTTATGTGTACTTCCCTTCTGTGTGGTCCCCTTTGAAACTAAGGGTGCTACATCAAAACATAATTTCTCGAATGATTACTTTTGGAATTTTCGAAAATTCAGAAAGTTTAACGAAAATGTGCCTTGTGTAATATTTAAAGAGATTTCTACACTGTCCGATAACAAAAGTTAATCAAAAATTTGGGAGCAATTTCTCAGAAAATTTTGAATATTAAGCTCATGTTAAGCACTCCCAAAATCATATTAGCCGATTCAAACTCGCAGGGCGGAAACGGTTCAAATTCCCAGATCGCTCACATCGATCGAGGAGATGAGATATCAATTTTTAGAGAAAAATCTCTACGGTTTAGACGGTGGTGTTAAACACAGACACACGTTTTGTTGTAACCGATAGAGATTCTGACTACACTATGTGTTACATTTTTTAACGGAATAATTTCATATTTTTCGTTAAAAACAATGCGAGATTTTCTATCGAAAAATCATCGATTTCAGTGTACAATACTTTATCTCTACTGCCTGTGTAGTAAGAGGAGAAAATAAAAGCAAAGTCCCTTAATGCGTCCCAGAAAATGTGCTGGATACGTGTCAAGTATCTTATTCATTAGACCACTACGTCACTGTGCACAGTTTGAACTTCTCCCCCGTCACATACTGTTTTTACTATTAACTGACAAAATTAAACAAAACACCTACCGAATTCCAAAAATATTGGGAGTGCTAGTAGTTGTTGAATCATATCTTACTGGGGTCATTCATGGCAGGAAGGGTCTGATGTAGAAATTGACTTTATATAAATTCATAAGCATAAAAATTAAGAGAATTGGAAACATAAAGCTGTTTTCAGTAACGTTTTTTTCTAAAAGTGTCCAATATCTTTGCCACCCCCTATTACAAACGCCATTAAATCGGGTATTATCGATCTAATATAAATGTGTGTGAGAATAAATTGAAAATGTTACCTGTTAGGAAATAATACTCATTGATCTGGAACATGCGTTATTTATAATTGAATGTACTACATTGATCTAACAGTTTTTAATGCAAAAAAATAATTTGTATTGGTAATTTTTACTTTCTCGCTTCTGCTTACGCAAAATTGAGAAAGTATTATAATGCTGAGGAAGAAACGGCGGATTTTTGACACAAAAACTCTTATTGCCGGACCTTGATAACAAAAAAGTGAATAAAATTTGTCCCTATGTATAGTAAATTAATTCCTCTAACTTGTGTAGTCAAAATGCATGGTTTGTGGGTCCTTTATAGCGAAAAATCGATTGACGGCTCAACGTGTCTGTCTGTCCGTGGTGAAACGATAGCGCCGAAACCATTCAGCCGATTTTCTGCAAAATTGATATTCCCCAATCGATCTTGCTGATGTCATAGCTTCGTGAATTTAGAAACGGATTTTTTTTTGGGGGGGGGTACTGTGCATGAAGTGCTTGGGACATTTTCAAACTTTTCAAATTAATGCCACCAACTCTGTAATTTTTTTGTTTGTTTGTTTTGGAATAGCGTCAAGAACGCTTAAGAACACGGCGCAAGTCTTATTTTCATTAAATCTCTGGTTTATGGAAACTTGCACAATTTTCTTAAAAAATGGGTTCATTTTTATAATCATAATGAAGATAATGCTTTCTCCTTAAATTTGTTCATCAAAAACATCTTCAAAGAAAGTCATGTTCAATTTTTAGGTAATATGAGTATTTTTTGCGTAAGTTTGCTTCAGTTATAGTCAATTTTAAAATTTCAAACCATTACTTTCTCAGAAAAGCTCCAGATTGTTTCTTTATATTTGTTGAAGGACAACTACAATACCTTTGTAGTTGGTCTTGTATGAGCGAACAGTGCTCTCAAAACTGTAAATGTGAGTTTCACAGAACTGAAAACTGCTTGTAAATGTTTAGCATAAAATAAAATACGAAACTAAAAGACAAATAATTAGTGAAATTCTCTAGGTCAAGTATCTTAAAGCACAAGTTATTTATAATTTGAATAATACTCACAACTGAAGTAATTTCTGGCTTCCTGTACCAATAGAGCATAAAGAATTATAAATATAAATTCCGTCATGTCGATCAAGAGTTATTGTCATTTTGGATCTTTTTTCTCCAAACAAGACTTCTGAGTTCGGACTGTGTTGTGAATAAGTTCAGAGCTATTGTCCGAATTCTATTTCTGTCTACTTAGCTGCTGGGGTTGGGGTAGAGCGTGGACAACTGGAATAGCAGCAGTAGCAATAATCAAATCGCCATGAGAACACAACAGTAGACCTCATAGAGCCGCACACACGACGCACAACCAAGCCCGCAATGCGCGCTCTTGGCCACTTGGCCACTCCAAGGATTTCATTTTTATAACCATAGATAACTCTGCAGAGACATCTTCACGATTTGAAGCCTGTTATTGAATAACAGTACTCCATTTCTCCGGTCAATCGCTCGCTATTAAGCAGACAGAAATATTTGGAAAATACTTCGTCATCCTAGATATATGTTTAACTTTATATTCGAATCCTTATCTCCAGTGGTAAAATGAAACTTTCGTCAAGGTCTGCATTCTGGTGATAAATGGAAATCTGAATGTAAGAACACCTCCCCGCTTTCTAGAGTTGGAATGTTACCTAAACTGTTTTTCTTTTCCTAGTCGGCCGTTGCCCTCTCTTGCGTTAATTTCCTTTTAATTTTTTAATATACTAAGAAAAATCGAATATATGTAACTTTTAATTACAGTTTTACTTCAAATTCTCGGAAGGAAGAACGCTCGAAATATAAGTAAAGAAGTAAAATATTTTATTATAGGGTTATTTCAATAGTGTTATAAAGCTGGAGTTTGTTTTCAGAAAAAATGGGAATAGCCAAGAATCAATTAACGTTCTTCCGATAAAATATCTTACGTACAACCTTACAAACGTGTGTCCGTCTATTGTCACACATACATACTACGTACATGCATACATACATGACATTTGACTACAAATAACTACAAATGACTACAAATACATTTGACAAAATAAGCAATTTTTTAAAACTAAACTACTCTACTTTCCTGATTATCGCACAATGTGTTGATTTCTTGCTTTGCAAAAGACAACAGTTATATTTCAGATACATTGAACTTCGTGGGGGCATGACCGCGAAGCTTGAATAAACAGCTTCGTCAAAATATTTAAAAGCATTGAGAATTGGAAATTTCATTCTTTGTGAAAGTGAATGAAAAACTTACAAGATTCATTCGATTCTTATTATTGTATTCTTAAGATATTAATTTTCGTTGTATTTGTAATGGACTTCGCACAAAATTGGCAGTTCAACAAATGGCATGGTGACAAGTGGCAAAACAACTTTCGGGCAAATACTTGCGGAAAGAATTTTAGAATCCGAAGTCTTCAGGTCGTCGAGGAAACAAGAATTCGTTTAGATTCAGTTTTTGTTGTTTTTATCGTTAACACAAATCGCATGCTTCTTCCCCCGTTCCATCCTTTTACTATAGTAATGGAACAACCTGCGCCCATCCGTTCCCCACTGAAGAACACTTCTGATCCACCGATCGACGAGGATCGGTCTCCTGGACGTGAACACATAATGTTTTGGGCTTTTTACGGACCCATCCAAAAAATTGTGAGACATTTCTCCAAAAAAATGTGTTTTTCAAGCTTTTTAAGAAACAAAAACGCGTTTTGAGTGACTTACGGCGCCTCATCAATAACTCATTCGGCCCCTCTTCTTATAATCTGCAAAGCAGATTATACAAATCCATTGTCACAATTCGTAGCCGGTTCCCTCTGGGATATTCTGGAAGAGTTCTACACAAAATGTATTTTTGATGGTTCCTATGCACTTATAAGTACATTGCTGACAGGTAATGATTTACTATTTTATGTTCTTGTGACTTGCTGCGGTATAATTAATCAGATTGGCACTAATGAAACCTAATTTTTTAATGAAACAAAATTAAACATCTATTTTATTCTATACTTTCATGTTGTAGCTTTCTATGCCCGAAAATTGACGAGCCGGGCCACTGTAGTATGTTGAAAATTTTTTTAATTATGAATTTGCAAAGCACAAATAAAACCTTTTAACATGCCAATTCCCGCCGGAGTCGCCACTAAGCTATTTGCGCGACGCGTTGCTAAGTTCTTTTGCGTGGTTGCGCAGGCGGGTGGCGTCCTCCGGCGCGGGAGGAGCAGGCGGCGACACGTCCTCAAGACTGGCAGCGGCGGCAATGGCCAAAGGGCGGCAAGTCCTGCGCGCCCGACCTCCCGCCAAACAAGCTGCGCTTGAGATGCGGCAAGTGCGGCGCCGTCTTTAACACGTCGCAGAAACTGGCCCGGCACGTGCTCCTGCACTCCGGGGAACGGCCCTACAAGTGCGAGGTGTGCGGGAAAGCTTTCGCGCGGACGGACATCCTCACCCGCCACCAGCGCCTGCACACCGGGCAGCGCCCGTACCGCTGCGACCTGTGCGGCATGGCCTTCAACCAGGCGGGCAACCTGACGCGGCACAGGCGCAGCCACACGGGAGAGCGGCCTTAGGGGCTGTGCGTGTGGAGGGGGAGACGGTTTTCCTCCAGACAAGCCAACTTAATGGCCTGTACGACGGAGTGTCTCGTCGTTGGAGTAGGGACAAATGTGGACTTGGGGAGAGAAGCAAATAAAAAATACTAAATTATTCCAGAAAGTACGTGTGAGGATATCTGACAAAGGTGGCTGCCAAGATAGTAAAACGTGTAGAATGGGACAAGGCAGAGCAGCAACAAGGAAACTTGGCAGCATTCTGTGAAGTAAGAAGGTAACAAAGAGGAATAGCATTAGAATTTATAAACTCGTAATAAAAGCATTATGCTATTTGTGACAAAAACATGGGAGATGACAAAAAAGACGAAGTCAGTTTTAAGAGCTGTAGAGATGGAGTTCTGGCGGAGATGCTGTAGACTGTCAAGGATCGAAAGAGTTAGGAATAATGACGTCAGAGGAGATATAGGTATCGTATTGACATTATTGATACGGTAGTGAATTGAAGGAATTAAAGTTGTACAGGCATGTGTAGCGATTGCACAATAAACCAGAAAACAGTAATAGATTGGTCACCGTCTAATAGAAGAGAGGTAGACAAGAAAACACTTGGCTACAAAAAATCAAAGAATCAGTGGAAAAAGGAGTCCCAGAGATGATGATTGGAATTAAGAAAATGAAAACTCGGGTACGGGAGGCGGCTTCCGCCGTAGACAACCCATTCGTATTATACAAGCGACCACATTTGGAATTGCAGGCACATCGGAGAGTGGCTGTTAAGCTGTACCAAGGGAAACTTGGGTCGGCACTGGCCGCTTCCTCGCGCATCTGTCGGACCTGCGAACTGCTCACCAACGCAGTTTGCCTGATGATTGATCAAATGCAGCCCTAGAACCCACTCGGTTTGCTGCGACGTTAGAGGTATGGAAGGACGTTTTTGTAAACAAGGATAAAACTGCGCTTTTTAAAACGCTTAGACTTTTTGAACTTCAATCTGAGCAATCGGCTTTGCAGTGAAACAACGTGAATCTGGTGGAGAAGAATTGTGTGTTAAAATAAAAAAATGGAAACAGTACGTACCTAGAATTTTGAAGCAAAATGACTGACCAGCCGATAATCGAAGATACTTGTCTAGGTATTTTAAGCTATTGTTCTAATGTGGGTTTCCGTTTTATCATTTGAAAATGAATTAATTATTCCGAGGTGTATTTGTGAAATTGTAAGAATCTTATCTAACATTATATTTATTTATTATAATAACTAAATAAACGAAATTAAAAAGATGGTAAAGGAATTTAATAATCTCTGACAGCCCTTTCACAATCTCCACTCTCAATTTCTTAGCCCATCGATACTAGTGTTATGAGTACAACCACAGTAAGTAGATTTGTTGGTTGACATTGAGCCGAGCTAAATTTAGTGAAGTTTCCTCTTGTTTTCTTTACAACTACATTTAGCGAGTGCTGTATGTATAAACCAAATTCTTGGAATGTAAGCAACAAGAATTACGTTAGGGAACATGGTAACAACAGAATTTCATTTAAGGTTATCATTAAAGTGTAAAAATAATTCTACAATATTTCTTGTGACGGAAGCAAGAAGTAAAATTAAATACAAAACTAAATGACTGAAGTGGCTCGACAGATCATGGGACTGATACATTTTTGAAGAAAAAAATCGTATTGAAACAAAAAATTATAATTGTAACGTACTCCCTACCCACCGTAGCTACCTGCAGTTGCTGATGTGTGTAAAGGGCGAGGGAGCAAAGGTTCAGACGGGCAAGTACTTTATGCGGGCGCAGTTTGACATGCTACGTAAAGCTCTTTTGGATATAATACATTTTGATTAGTCGCTCCTATTTACGCTCAATGATCTCGACTGTGGATGTCTAGTAATCCTTGTTAGGGGAAGTGGGTTTTTTATGGACTGCTGTTTAGTGTCGTAGTCAGTTCCTCTATATTCATATTTTCCTCTTACAAATATTATTTTCCGGTAAATGTGTTTTTTTCTTACTCGTGGCAGGTGGAACCTTCTGAAGAATTGTCTCTGAAGAATGTGAAAGAGGATAGTTCGGTTCAGCAGCCTTACCTTCTTGCAGATGGGTAATCTTGAAATCAAATCCTTTGATAAAAGCTTTGATGAATGGGACGTTCAGGATTCTTACTGTTATGTAGGTGTTTTTGCCACTGGACAATATACATTCGCCTTCAGGGTGTTAATGTAGGGTGGAAGAGTGGTTAATACTGAGGGAGGTTGCAATACGGAATATTCCGTGAAAAAATGTTACATAAGCAACGGTTTCATTTTAACTAACCTGCGATTAAAACTGATTGAAGTTTGATTTTAGAGAAATAAACGCCTCAAAATGAAATGCCAAATAAAATGATACTTATAACCACTTGATTTTTGGCGGAACGCGATGAAACGGCGTTCCGGTACCTCAGGAAGAACAATTATTGAAGAATATTATAAATAAATGACTACTTCTATAAAATTAGTGATTAATTAGTGACGCTTTCCGGAAAGTAAAATTTTATAAATCAAGCACTGCTTGTAACAGTTTCTAATAATTTCTCAAAAATCATATTATCCAAATATTTCAAGAACTATTTACCTCAGTGCACTTTTTTCTGACTGGAATATTTCATACCCTCACAGTCCATTGTAAATGCAGATGTAGTTATAACGTCAGTAGTGAATAATTGTATAGTCCGTTGATGTGTGACGTAACCCAGCGAATTCTTGGTAGGCTTCATAAGTACGAATGAAAGGGTATAGCCGGATAAGCCGGTGAAAAGTACCCCCAAACCAAATCGATAGTCGCGAAATCATATGAAAGAGAATACAAAATGTAGATTCGCAAAAACTCAACCTCCTCGAGCAATCCGTTGCAGAGATACGAGAAAAGTGTTTTTCGTGTTTTTTTTTTCAGCTTTTATTGCTTGTATCAGGCTGGGAGAAAAATTTAGAGACGGAGAAAAATAGTTGCATTTGTAGGTTGTTTTTGTCTACCAATTTTGATGCCTAATTTAATTGAAAATAATTTTTTGAAATTGATTTTCGCAGGATAACTTTGGAGTACTACCTCAGTTTTGTCCTAGAATGTATCTAATAACATGTATAACATATTTGTTCAGTTTTTTAAGCAATGTGGATGATAGTGAAAAACAATTAATACCTAATATATCAGTTAAAAAATTGAAATTTGCGCCAAAATGTGATTGAAGAAAAACGTTTTTACCAATATTAAACACAGATTCTATCACGACATATGAACTCAAAGTCTTGTAGGTATTACATCGATTACGTATCAAAGTCAATCTGAATATCCATGGTGGAAAGAGATAGGCCCTTGTGCATGCGACGTCAGCTTATGAACTTCAGGCACCAGTTTGCCTCATAATATTAGCTAGAATTTTAAGTGCCAAAATTATCACTGTCATTGAAACAGATAAGACGTTTTTTTTATTTATTACAACGTGTCTTTCAATTATATCTTCATCGTGTTCTTTTCAGTTGGTCACCGTTGAAAATTGCCAATTTATGCCACTTTCAAAGTGTTTCTCAATACTTCATGCTCTCCATGAAACGTTGTGGCGAACGTCTGGTCTCACTTTGCGCACAAGTGCCCGTGTTGTGGTCACGTGTTTCGCGACGCAAACTGGTGCTGCGCATAGTGAGCAGCGCAGGAGCCTACCCGTCTCTTTCCATGGGAATATCGAGAGTGAAACGTTATTTTGAACGTGCAAACGCAGCTCGCACCCTGGGATTCTACTCCCACATAACTGCCATCATTTATTATTTTACACATGCTCGTTAATTGGCGAAAATTATTAAATCTGGACCTCAGAAATTTTGAGTAGACTGTTTATAAACGAACATGTGATCCCAGTTATTGAAGACAGTGACAATGGTTAACTATCTATGATTGTCTAATTGTCAATGATTAATTAATATACAACTGAGTAATTTGATTTAAATTATAAACATGAATGATTCATATATTTACAACCGAGTAATGTAATTTACATAGGAAACAATATATAAATACAAAACAAAAGGGGTTTGATGATTTTTTTCGATAATATTAATATCTACTACATAAAAACAAATATTTTTCAGCAAAAGTTGCAAATCATGCTGATATCTGAGACTTTTAAATAATTTAAATATAAATTGTTTAAACATTGGTGAACATTATTGTTTTTCAATTATATTTTGGCGCGAATTTCGAATTCCTAAACTGATAAAAGATTTTTATTGTTTTTCACTATCGTCCACATTGCTTAAAAATTTGTAAAAGTGTAGAATATACAATGTTATATGATACATTCTAGAGGGAAAGAGATGTAGTATGCGTTCGTAGGCTTCGGCTGCCGGAGTCTATACATTCTTGGCTATCCGGGATGAGACGCGTCTCAGTCAATTGTGCTGACGTTTCGACCATTTTGCTGTGGCTTACTTCAGAGCTATACACTCTTAAGAAGGCCACAGAAAGTTTAGCTTTGAAGATGGCCGAAACGTCAGCACAATTGTCCGAGACGCGTCTCATCCCGGATAGCCAAGAATGTACTGATGTAGTACTTCAACGTTATTATGTCGGATATCAATTTCATTTTTTAAAATTTGAATTTGGCGTCAAAATTGATTGACAAAAATAATTTCAAATGCAACTATTTTTCTCCGACTCTGTAATTGGTTCAACCTGATACATGCAATAGAAGATGGAAAAAAATAACACAGGAAAAACACGTTTCTCATATCTCTGCAACAGATTGCCCTAGAATGCTGTTTTTTGCTAATCTACGACATTTTGTATTCTTGTTCATACGAAAATCGCGAATATCGATCTTTTGGGGTCACGTTTCACCGCCTTATCCGCCTATACCCTTTAGGAGCTGAATGAAATTAGACATCGGAACACTTTTAATGTCTAAGCTAGAATGCTAGCCAACGTTCAACATTACCTCCCAAAAAATCGTAATTCGTCTTGGAAGTTTCGATCATGAATGACAGCGCTGAGGAGGAGAGACCCACCATGCACAGATATTAACGAGTAATTGTGAATTTAAATGTAAATCAGTTATGTTTGAAATAATTTCATTGAATGCCTTCATTTCGAAACAGGTAACTTTGCGAACATTACACAAAAATATTATTTGACCAAAAAGCTTTTAGTTACTATCCCTGGTTATAATAGCCATATCCCTAGCAACAATAATAATAATAATAATAATAATAATAATAATAATAATAATAATAATAATAAAGGTGTGCAACCTGATTTAAAGAACCTGTAATTCTATTTTATTATAGATAAATGATCGTTGCATAATTATAGAGCACTACACAGAATGTCCTAAATAATAATACTACTAACATTCAAGAACAAGTTGGTCGGTGGTTCTGCGTGATAGAAGGGTGCGTTTATGCTTCTTTCTTCATTCTATGCATCTACATCCATTTATTTATCACTATCCTCTTTGTCTTCCCAATTCTCCCTCTCCTGCATGCTGAAGTTCTGGCAATGAGCATTTGCAGAGCACGAGGGGGGAGTACTCTTGGATCTGTGACTTGTCAGTGTAATGATTTTTGCGTGTTTCGCACGTTCTCCTTGCTACTCTACTTTGCAAGTGAATCCACTTCGTTCCCTTGCCCTCTTCCAAGATATTGTGTAAGATGACAATGGACAACTCTTTTATCCTTAACCCGAAAAGCACTACATTTCAGTAACGACTTTTACGGAATAAGGCGTGACTTAATAACTCAGTTCCCCTCGCGGGGCTTAAGCTTCGGATGGCAGCCAGGGTGGTGAAGCCCTCTTAGTCCAGTGATGCCATTCTTCCAGAATCTCCGATTCCCGCTGCGTTGCGCCAAGTCGAGCCGCGGCTCGCTAACTGGGCTAGGCCACACTCGGGAGCCAGTTGCCGCGCCCACGACTTGCCACCGGCCGGGTGTGTGCGTTGCTAAGTGACTTTGCGTGGTTGCGCAGGCGCAGGAGCCCCTCCGACACCGCTGCGGGACCAGGCGACGTTCGATCGACACCGGCAGCGGCACAAGGCCCACCCCTTCGCGCCGCCCCCGGAGCCCAAGGGGCTCGAGGACGGCCAGGCACGCAAGCTGCACTTGAGATGCGGCGAGTGCGGCGCCGTCTTTAACACGTCGCAGAAACTGGCGCGTCACGTGCTCCTGCACACCGGGGAACGGCCCTATAAGTGCGACGTGTGCGGGAAAACGTTCGCTCGCACGGACAACCTCATCGCCCACCAGCGCCTGCACACCGGGCAGCGCCCGTACCGCTGCGACCTGTGCGGCATGGCCTTCAGCCAAGCGGGCAGCCGCGCCCGGCACCGGCGCGGCCACACGGGCGAGCGCCCGTACGCGTGCGACGTGTGCGGGAAGGCCTTCATCTCGTCCAGCGACCTCGCGGTCCACAAGCGCAGGCACACCGGCGAACGGCCGTACCATTGCGACATCTGCGGAAGATCGTTCATGCAGTCGGGCGGGCTCAGGTATCACAAGCGCACGCACACTGCGGAGCGGCAGTGATCGTGCGAAGGATGCGGGGAGGCTGCCGCCGAGACGGTGACCTCACCTCCTACAAGCACAGCACTCGGTTGAGGGAGCGCCCAGCTCCGGCGTCACTTCGCCAAGAGCCGTGTACTGGCGCCCATCTTGAGAACGAGCGAACCACACACCTAAACAACGTGACTTCTGATATTCCCGATGCGGAGAAGCAGGCACAGCGCCCTGCGGGCTTTTCATGAGCATGTTGGGATGGGAGGACGACATTGTTCCACAAGAACCTAACGAGCCGGCTTCGTCCCGGAGGAGGAGTGAATCTGGCGGGGGAGGGGATTACGTAAAAAGAAAATATTCTGCAAAAACGTAAAAATAAAAACCGTTCTGCACTAAGTTGAAGGTCTTTAAGAGCAGCTGCTGAGCGAAGATAAGTCCGAAGCCTAAGGAAACAATTCCATTATTATACGCTGTACATGTACGACATAAACATATGTATGTATAATAGTGTGTGTATATCCCAGGGTAAGTAATTTCGGGCGTAAAATACAAATTTGGACAACACTTGCGTATTTGACACAATCTGTATGTTTCGTATGATAGTTTGCTGAAATTTACATTGTTACTGCGCAGGTATTTATCGGCGAATTGTCAAATCCTCTTGTTTAATACCGTCCAGAAGCTTGTTCCGAATCGATAATCATATTGGTGAGTGTATTTGGAGAGGGAATCTGGGAATACTCCCGTAGTCTTATCAGCTGCTTTTGTGACGGACTTCTGGAAATTGTAGTCTGCGGCGAAATTCGAAAATTACACAAAAAATGTTTCGATAAGAATGTGTGCCTGTTGTCTAAATGGTGGAGGGACTATTTATCGATAATATTAATAGGAATATAATTGTATAAATTTTGTGTGTGCAAAATGTCTCATTCATTATAAATGGGTAATGTAAATATCAGGTTCTGCTGCCTGATCCATGAACTATGTTTTTCAATTGTGATGAATTCGGAGTCTACTAACATAGGCAAGAAATAATTTGTAGACATCTGACGATATGCTGAATATATACTTTTGTAAATAAATTGATTGCATAATCTTATATCATCCATTGTTTGTAATGAAGTTATTTGATGAAAAATTATAATTAATGTTTGAGAGGAAGGACTTATTGCTAGGAGTGTGGAGGCATTGTATTCTTTTACGATTTTCTACATTTTAGTTACTTTTCTACAATTATTTATTTCTTGAAGGTTGATAACACTGTATATTATCCCCTTTTTCATAGTTGAGTTTCATATTTTTTTCTTTTGGCCCGTTATTAATGTTTCGATGTCTTAATTGGGATATAAAAACGATGAAATGGCAAACGTCGGGAATATATAATGTGCACTTCAAATAAATACGCCAAGTTTGAAACTGCCTTTCCTTGAACTTGTGAAATGTAATTTTCTTCAATTTATGTGTGATCAAAAGTAGTACATTATATGTTTTTTGACGAAATGTAACATGTATTTCTTATTGCACCACTTAAGAGCTAACTATGTCGTGGTATCTTTGTGTATTTGTACGATGTTTTGCATAAAATTTTAATTAATAACTGCTGTTAGTGAAACTTACAATACCAAGAAGGATGAATGTGATTGATCTTTATATTAATATTAGGTACATAATTGTACGCGCAATATTAAGGTTTCTTAGCTGAATTTGGCCTCTGTCCTTGAGAATTTCCAACGAGCAGAGCCCCTACCCCGTGCGCACGCGCGCGCACACACGTTCATACCTGAGCTTCTAAACGTTCCAGCAGACTTCTAACAGACGACGCTGACAGGCCCACAACCGTTGCATTTCCCCGGCGTCCAGCCAGCTCTGAACGAAGCTGTTCGGTTCGTGACCGCCATGAGGATATGACGGCAGTCATTTCGTGGGGTGGTAGCATTGCATGTCCCAGTACGTGCTCGTCCCTAGATATGCCCAACTTCCATTCACTGGTGCCACACACGTGTTATGATTTAACAGGAGGAAGTAATTGGGGAAGATTTGTTTGGTGTAATAGACGGGGGAATTTATTTTAACAACTTTTTATTGTAGAAATCTGAGAAACAAATTTATTTCCAAGCGTTTACTCCCTCTTGCCTATATACGAATGTTGTTATACAGGTTAATAGTTAATAACAATAAATTCCATTTGATAAGAGCGCTTGGAAAGCCTACTAGTACAAAATATCAATATGACATTCTATTCATTACAGAATGATACAAATTTCTAGAATGTCGCCGAAAGTAAGTAAATTAATAAATTTTGATAAATATTACTAGGTCAGACTATCGCTGGGAGCTTAGGCCTAGGCTAAGGTTTTTCGAATTACTTGACAATTGAGGCGTTTTAAACAAATTTGGCTAGCAGGACGTTTCGTCTTTGCTTCTTTAAATAAATGAAAATAAATAACAAGTAGCCTTCATCCCTTCCTGTGGCTTACCTGAATACATACAATACATATAAATAGAACAACATTTATAAATGCCTTCATTTTTAAAAGCCTGCTCACATTAGGTGCATATTCTGTCAGTACAAGTGAATTTATATCATAACCTGGTATCTTCTAAGTTCACAATTAAACTCGGTGACTGTATCTAACGCACGAAACAAAAATACTCTAACAGGTACTTGAACCTTGGCGGCAAACCTTGCGCCAGCTATACGGAGGGCCTACTTGTCACGATCGCTCGCTAGCGCTTGATGTTTATGTGATTTCATTGGTAAAATTTATTGGTCAGAATTATCGACCGTGAAGAATAGGTAATGATCCTAGAAACTGATCCGGAAACTAAACCACGCGGACCGAGAGGTATTAGCAAAAATTGGCGGCGGATTCGGTGGTTATTGCGTACGAATCACTGTCGTAACAGTATCCACCACGATACAACCCCATTCGGCTTCGATGGTGAAACTGTCTTTTATACCCAAATTCACGGGTTCAAATCCGCTCGAAGCAGTGGATTTTCGAGGGCGAAAAAATCCTTCGTAAGCCTTCCTTTGGAGGGGAAGTAGATCTGGCCATCCCATTTTGAAAGTTCACTGCATGTAAAATATTTTCAGGCTAAAAAGAAGCCTCTGCGATAATTTCTAATTGCATATTTCGTTGCCCGAGTGATACCTTTTGTTACCTTATGACCAAAGGAGCGCAGCAAAATTCCGCGGAAGAGCCAGATTGATGCCTCACCACGAAATGTAATACATCTTTGAAACTGAATTGAAACCTGATTCGCGATAGTCGATTATTCTTCCCCATTTCCACTCAACTTGATATTGCGGTTTTTGACGATGACGTTGAGGTATATTAACACTTACTTTCAGGTTTTCACTGTGTTTTAGGGGAGGGGCTTGTGGCTTAATTCCACCACTAAGGTCCCAGTACGATCTCAGGACAGTCCATGTGAAATTTGCGGTTGGCTAAGTCAGCTCTCGCTAGGATTTCACCATCATCATTCACGTCATCATTATCGATATCATCTACTCATTACATATTAATCCATGATGCTACAATGGCCATGGGTATTGCATCATAAAATCCACTTCGTTTCACGGCTCTTCAGTGGCTGAGATTGTAAAAAAAAAAACCGCATTTCGGATAATTCAGGCGAGGCCTCTTCTATGATGCCTCTGCGTGTTCTCAGTCTCTGCGCAAGCTCAATCACCTATAACTACGACATTGTTCTACACATCCTCAGAATTTGGATTCATACATGTCATTATTTTTAGGAGGTTGCAGTTTCACAAACTTTGGTGAATTATTATTTTTGAAAATGAAATGAAATAGTTCTTGTGCGGATTTAATTGAATGAACAATACTTTTATGTAAAATTGTAAAAAGAAGTGCATTTTATCATAGTAATAAAAATAAATGTGAAATTTAAAGAAGCGTTGTTTTTCTCAGCTTCATTTCATTCCCATCTTTCACGATAGCTCCATCGAGTTTAGTTTCTACGCATATTATATATTAAAAATGTTGGTTGGAAAAGTAAGTATGAATGTTTAATAATAGGAATATGTAGCATTAATGTTGTGTAAAATAAGTAATATATGTTTTGAAAGTACCTTGTTCGTTCACAAACTTTTTTCGGTGCATTGTAACAACCAAGTAGAGTGGCGTGCAGTGGCTTAACGTGCTTTCTTACCGAGGGTTGCGTGGCTGTGTGTTTTTAAGTGTAATAATTCATGGGAGCGTCTATAATTCAGGATGTATATTTGTTTAGTTGATGTGTAGGAGGAAGTTGACAATCTTCAAGTTGTATACTTCGTGCATTTTATGTGGCGCAAAACTTTTAAATCGTTCTGAGAAGTCTATCCTTGAGACCCCTCTTCTGCATTAGAGAAGTTTCTTTCAACTATCCTCATCTCCACGCTCTGGTGTATTTGAGAAGGGCTCTCACAGTCGACTGAACTGCTGGGATTGGCTCGTACCATTAAGTGAGGAGCTACATATATTTTAAATTTCCTAAATTGCAAACTAGCAGTAACTGCCAGAGAATATCGACCCTCAAAATTTAATTCGGGAAAAGGGACAGACTAATTAGGGATGAAAGTGTATCGAAAATAAAATATCTTGATTTTCTAATGCAAGTATTGTGCTTTCAAACTGAATGCGAAGTGGCACTTCCATCTCATTCCATCCAGACATTGAGTCTACGCCCCTAATGGATTCAGCGAATGGCGGTGATGTATTAGGACTTACCACATCGTTTTACTAATTCGGCTCGCTGACTGACTCGTCCCTTTTAATGCAGATGCCTAAACTGGTCTGAACTAAGATTTCGGTGTTTGGGAATGGGTTTAAATAAAGTCTGGGAATGTATTAAGTAAAAAGTTTATTAAGTATTATTCTTTAGAAATTATACAATTTATTTTAAAATTTTTTATTGTACTTTTGCATGCAGCATACAGTGATGTTTGCTAAAATATGTGTCATTTTGTTTTTTCAATCGCAGATTTCTCAAAAATTGGCATTACTTCGGCTGTAAAGTTTAAGTCGTACATCAGGTCAGTCAAGAGGATCACCGCTTCTTTGCCGAAATTTTCGCATTCCAAATAATAGAATCATCTGGCATTGTTATAATTTATAATGGCCAAATATACAAGATACAGGTCCTACGTGTACTTTCTAACATTTTTTTATCAACTTCTGCATGGTTCGAAACGTTGTCGATCTGGGTAGAAATTCTTATACATCTTTTCTGCAAAAATGTGAGTTGACTTCCGACACTTTTATTTTGTCTTTGTGTTCTTTTAATTGTGCTGCGAATTTCTTATGTAAATTTCACGTCAGAGACTACTGTTCGACTTATCGTTTGTAACTCCCATTTTCGCGCTATTTAAATAGCCTTTTATTACTTTCACTATTACATCTCTGTGCCCTTGTGTCTCTGTTCAACTTGATTTTCATTATGATTCAAAAGTATTCGAGTTATTTGCAAGTCCGGTTAAAAAAATTAAGAGCTCGCTGTCAATGATGGTGTAGAGTTGCTTCTGAACTCATGCAGCCGGTAGAAAGATACTTTAAGTGAACATCTGCGAATGTGTAATGTCGAAATATATTTTACTTTAAAATGTTTGATTACTCGTACAAAAATTGAGATTAAAATAGGAAGCTTGTGTGTGGAAGCTTTAAAAAAATACAGAAGAGAATGTGGTAGAAATCGAACTTTTATTTAATGTTATTATTGACCTATAATGTAAATGCCTTGATCCACTGTAACAATGAAGTTGTTTGGACACATTAATGGAATGATTGAAGATAGAAAGTCGAAGCAGAACGACAAGGTTAGACCAGAAGGGAAAATACCTCCCGCAAGACCTAGGGGAGGGCTGTATTCCATAAGAGTGAAACTATAATTGAAAGTGAAGTGCAAGGTACAGGAGAAGAAGGATTATGATTAAGTAGCTAACACGTCGCTTTAAACTAAAAGGGGAAGAAGAAGAAGTAATAATAATATAAATCACTGAAATTAGCTGCACCAACAGCAACGAGATCCTTTCATATCATCATGGACAAAAGAAAAAAAAATAGTTTAGCATAACTGCAATAGCTCAATTAAGCACACACACAAATTGCAATTAAACACAATACTTGATACAAATTCAGTAGTGATCAGAGTATGCAGAGATGTGAAACCGATTTTGGTTATATTCTAAACTTGCTGCAACATCTCATATATCAGCTGGCTAAAAATGATAAATTGATTAACAATGCTTGGGTGAACATTCGGGTTTTCAAGAATTTTATTTCAAATATGAGTGGTATCTTTCGAATACACATTTCAAACCTTTAAATCAATAATTGTGGGAGATACCTGATGGGAGATATTGATGAGTGAGAAAAGGATTGGAAGGTATATTTTTACTGACTTAGTTGGTCGTATTTGTAAAAACCTTGTTCTGTGATCAATTAATTACACTTCGATAAAAAAACGAAGTATGTGCAAGGTCACTAGCTGAAAAGGGACACTGTTATCGGAACGTCAATACAATGAGTTAAATCATAACGAAGCCCGGATTGATAACAGTGTTCCTCTCCTGCCAGCTCGTGATCTTGAAAAGAGTTGCGTCGAAACTGGCCTTATATTTATTTAGAATTATGTTATTATGTTAACAAACTAAAAAAGAACATTCGTTCTCTAAGAAAATGATATTTCGTTTTTTATTATCATGTCTTCTCTATGTACCTCAGTGTTTTTGTAGGTTGGTTGCACATGAGCAGTGCATTGACGTCGCGTTGTCATTGTTCGCTGAAGGAAGTGCTCGGTTTTAAATATGATTATAACGTCGGATTAACGACAAAGTGCCAAGAACATTCATATTTTTTAATACCAGTGCGTGCGCAACTCTCGTTTGTTCTGATATGACTGATAAGCGTTGATTACCGTAATGTGCTACAATTGATCGGTAAGACCTAAGAACGTCGAGAAAACATGTCATGAAATAATAAATATAGTGCGTACAACATATCAAGAAGAGAGCTTGAATATTTTTCAAGCTTGATCTCTCTTAGGCAAAAATTCTTAATAAGAAAAAAATCGTGTTTATATTAATTAATAATTAGAAATTTACTCCCTCTAACATTTCGACTAGTCCAAAAGACATCTCAAATTTAAGTCATGGACTCGTAATTGACTGCATCGTCCAACGTTTTACTACCGTAATATTAGGAAGTAGTGCACCTTTCGGCGCTAGCATTGCGAAAATTTAATAAGTTAGTTGCCAAGAAGATAATAAGGAAAAAACTTATAGTAGTGTGAAACTCATTGTATGAACTCCGTATTTCGTAGATTATTAATGATTAACTAAAGAGTTTAGGAAACATCTTAAATATATGTTTGATTGGCAAGGCCTTTTAGTGCAACAAAAAGTATTACAATTAATGCAGCCTGGAAACGCATATTTCGTAACAATTAATATAGTATATGTTTCACATGCCCTTTCTCTAAGGTAACACGCTAAGGGAAGATACGGTTTTGTGTCATAAGAAATCATCGAGTCAAATCCCCGAATGTTTTCTGTTGCTGGAGAGGAAATTACCCCAAAATCCAGCATCAAACAGGATCCACCCAGTACTATATTATTATAGCACATGTAAAACATGTGTTTCCATACTACATTGTTGTACTTGTAGCATTCAAGATATCTATAAATCAAGCAGACGATAAGTAATTTTTGTTTTTGACTTTCTGAGATCGTCTATAAAATCGTTTAAACCTTTAATAGGCAAGTTACATTGTTTTTAATTATTTTGAGTAACGTTGCGTGCCTATTTACTTTTAAGTTAATTGAAGAATATTCAAAGAACGATTTGGATCATCGCGGTGAGCGGAAAGGAAACAGACGGAGCAGTCTGTTGAAGCTCTATTGCCGCAAGCAGAGACGCCGGCAGTGTTTTGGAAGGGACCGCGCGAACAGAGAGTTCCCACCGCCCGCTTGGGAACGCGACGTCCGCACTCCGCGCGTGTGCAGCGGCCGGCTGCGCTCATCGGTAGTTCTCCGGTCAACACCAGGCGAATACCTGAGCAGTATCCTCACAAACGGGCCACGGACCGTGCTCGATCTCTTCATTGACCTATCCTCACCGTTACACACACACAGTATCATGCACTACACTACCACACGCGACGGGAGACCGGTCGGGAGCTTAGATCTTGTTCCGTCTGGGGCAGTCTCGCTGATGGGAGATACCTGGTTGGGAAAAACCCGCTAGCCGACGGTAGGTAGGTATGGATCACACCATACAGCGGGGGAAAGATCACCGCCACGTCTCGAGTAAAACACGCACTCCTCGTACGGGACCAGTGACCTTTTAGTTGACGTGCCCGGAATCACTAAATCAATCAATCGTGTGCAGCTGGCCCGGCCGGCCGTCCAGCCAGCGCGTCTGCCCTTTGCGCCCGCTTCCGCCAACCCGGATGCTTTTGCCACTCAGTGGGAGCTGCGGCGGCGGCGGCCGGCCTCGGCGGTGGCGGCAGCGGCGGCGGTGGCGGTGGCGGGGACGGCTACCTCGTGCTGCTGCCGACGGTGAAGCGGCCCCGCCGGTCGGCCGTGTGGCACTACTTCGCCGAGATGGAGGGGTCGCAGGGGCGGCGCGTGGTGTGCAGGCTGTGCGGCGGCAGCACCACCCGGCCCGGAGGCGGCACCAGCAACATGCGCCACCACATGCGATCGAACCACCCGCACCTGCTGGGCGGGGACGAGCCCTGCGCCTTCTAGGGCGGGGGCGCTGGGGCAGGGTAGGCAACTGGAGGCGCGCGCTCGCGTGGCGTCGGATTGCATTGGACGGCAGAACATTTCTTGCTCAGCGGCCACAACGGGATTTGGAGCCGATGGTTTCTTATTCGTGATACAAAACCGTACCTTCCCTTCGCGTATTAGCTTAGAGACAGGACATGTGAAACATGGACGATATTAATTGATGTGAAATATGATTCCAGACTACAATAATTACAATATTATTTGTAGCACCGAGAGGTCTTGCCAAGCAAGCACATGTTTAAGAAGTTTCCTAGACTCTTTAGTTGATCGTTAATACTCGAAAGTAATTCGGAGTCCGTACAATTAGTTTACAGTACTTTAATTCCCCCCCCCCATTTTTTCCTCCTGGCTACCATCTTCATGAGTTTTTGTAACACTACCGTCGAAAGTTTCTCTACGTCCTAATAATATTGCAGTAACAGCTTAGAAGATGCAGTAAATTACGATTCTGCGACTTCAATTTGAGATGCCTTTTGGGCTAGTTGAAATGTTAGCGGTAGCCGAGGTAAATTTGTAATTTATATAACATTACTTTTTCTTAATGGAATTTTTGCCTAAGAGGGACCATGAGTGAAAAATATTCAAGCAATATTCGTAATGGTCGATCTATATTTATTATTGAATGTTAACGTCTGGATAGAAGAAATTACAGTTTGATAGTAATCCACGACCTCTCTTCGGGAACGTGTGTCCTTCTTCGGGGAATATCTTCTTTCTTCTGTTCTTCTGTTGTAATGAGTGCCGTGGGGAAGGCCGTTAGGCGGCGGCCACAGCGGAGCCGATTTTTACCGATTATTCGGTCGGCCGTCTTCGGATGTTTTTGTCGAATGTGCGGAATTCATTCAAACACGTGATAGGTAAACGGATAGAGATTAGAGTGGAATTACTACTAATTCTGCTATTACTTTTTAGTACTTGATGACCGAATACACTAACATAAAATTACAGAACTTAACAACTTTACAAAATTTACAAACTTTACAGTTAACATGAACATTTCACCGAGCGAGCACTTCACTTCACTACAATTCACTTCACTGCACTGCACTGCACTGCCCTGCATTGCACTGCACTGTAACACTGTAATATGTTACTCCTGTAATATGCCGAACTTTGACGTCACCCTTTCTTACTTTACTACTTTCACATTCTTCGCATCATTAGTTTTATTTAAAGAAATCGTTTCGTGTGAACAACGCGATGTCTTTGAGGGGATTCGATGAAAGAGCTCCTTCGTCGCAAATGAGGTGTCTTATTTCATGAGATGAATTCCTTGTACGTCGTGTGTAATAGTTTTTTCCATTTCTTTCGATGAAATAAAAACATGTGGTCCTAGGTCAAGTGAATTTAAACAGTATTTTCGCTAAGAGTCTTTTCCCGGAATGCCCACTAAGATACTTCAATTTAATTCTTTACTCATCGGTGATAAAGTTTTACGCTAGGAACATTATTAATCAATATGAAGTTTTTTAACTTCTGAATAAAATTATTTTTCTGACCTCCCGGGAATAAAACCTTAAGACGCCATTCAAAAGATTCATAATCAATTTATTATGCATTTACTTTTACCATAAAATTATCTGTATTGAGTTGCGATATCGTATTGCAATGTAAGCCAGACGAGGAAGCAATCCGTTTTCTTTAGTTCCGAGTGCCACCTGAAGTTGAAGTTGGCAATGGTCATCCTATGAATCCGACCGTAACTTCACAAACCTCTATGGCTTCCTAATTCGCTCCCTGCTTCACAGGTGAGTAATCTTTCACCATCCTGTAATCATATTCTTGCCTCAAATTCAATAAATGAAAATTGTCAGTCACGAAGTGTAATATTTGATCCCGTGAGGAACCGCGTATCCCCTTATGTTCACTTACTTAAGACCACTTTAATGCCTCCCCCGCCCCTCAGTTATTAATCTAATACCTAGCTTTAACACTTTATTTTACGTTAATTTTAAATAGTTTAGCCCGCGTTATTTAATCCACAATTTTGTTTTTGAAATTTCAACTTAGGAATCGTTATCAGACATCTCAACCTCCCCTGTCATACAAATTCGTACACGTTTTCATATTACATGCTTTTCTACTTTTGGCCCCAGTGTGCAATCTCAGGGTCTGCGTTTGGATACCTGAATGTGCCGGGTCCCCATTGGGACCAAATAGTGCACATTATGACTCACCATTGTTCATCCTTGCCTTGCGCTCGCTCACTTGCCCCACTGGCCGATCGCACCAGGCGCCTCCTTTAAACGCACGCGTCTCCACGAACTGCCTGATTCGTCTGCGGCACCATCAGCGTTGTCTTCGCCGAAACGACTATCGCCGATGTAGCCCATGGTGTCTAACGAAAGCTGCGTTTGGAGTTTTTGTTATCAATCAACCTCCGATAAAGGAATCAGCGCTAGACGACCAGCGTGTTTCCTGTCGTGTACCCTCCGAGTGAGTCGGCGTATTGCATGACAGTGCCGACATTCAGTTCATATCCGTGATCATGAATCTACAATAGTTTCACACTCAACGAATCTTCTTGTTTGTTCCAACATTCATAAAAAAAACAGAATTTATGTTTTCGACGAGAACTATTTCCAGAAGCGAAACGTTGTGCTTTCGCAAACCGAAGCAACCAGAATTATGATACTTTGAACACCTGCATTGATTTACATCGGATTTGTTCTTATTCTGAACGGACAGTCCCGCGCGGGCCTCGGTGTCTGCAGTAGAGCGCCTCATTCTATAGAAGAACAACCGCGCCCGTCCGCCCGCCAGAGGTCGCTCGAGCGCCTCCTGCAGCCGCTTGCCTGTGCTCGAGCGCTAGCGACCGATCGCCTCCGTTCGCGCTCGCTGCCCTCACTGCGCACTGCCGCCACCGCCATCTTATTCCGTTCTTTACCGTTTACGTAGAGCAACCTTTTCCATGTGTGGAACGCTCGTGTCTCTGCATTCTTTTGTTATTCTGCCGCTTCACGACATTTAGGCAGTGTTTATTAAATAAAAATGATGGGATCTGGGGATTCTGCTGGTGACAAGTTGTAAAATCACGCCGTCAGAGAGAGCAGCAAGATTGTCGGCGCTCTACGAGAATGTTTATAAGAGACACTATTCGATACTGAGAGAAAATTGAAAAGGTGAACTGAAATGTAAAGTTGCATTGTGTAACGGTTATTTTTGCTACCTGTTCTGCTTCTTTTATGTCTATGATCCGTCACAACGCTGCGACAGGGCGGTCCTGGTAAGCGCAGCGCGTCTCTCGGGCTTACCACCTTACGGCTGCACTCGCTCGGGCAAGTGCTGAAGTACGCGCGTTTCGTGTAGTGGCAGGTTCTCGAGTCCTGCCGGGTCATGGATGTTTTCATTCGTGTTGTGGCATGACTGGTTTTCCCACCCTTCATCTATCACGTTTTCTACCTCAACCCTAGTTTCTTACCTCGGTAAGCCAGAGTGGCGGAGGGGCTTGCGTGTGAGGCAAGGGCCGCTACATTTGAAGTGCCCGGCCACCTTAATCCCTCAGATGTGTTTGTTGCATGGGGTACATTCCCCGTATTGTACCATCTTGTATCATCTAACCCACGCAATTGTTCCTTAATTGCTTTCCCTCCGGTACGAGCGTAAATCACACGTTCTTGCTTTGTACGGGCCGCCGTGACAGCGCCTAGTAGATCCGCTTTCTTCCTCTAAACTAGACTTTCTCCAAACCGAATTTTGCCTAGATAAGCTTCGCATATGCCCAAAATGTCTTTACAGGAACAAAATGAGCTCGTAAGCCACATCAGTCCGATGGATGGGGAGACAGGTGTGTACCACTGAGGTCGCACCTGGCGGGAAAAACTTTCAGCTGGGGAGGGGGTTTCTAGGAGGACCGAAAGAATTCAGACGTTAAATAGTAACATTTTCACTGGCCAGGCCTCCTCCAATTTAGTTTGACGTAAATGAGTGTCAAAACACATTACTGAACCGATTTATCACCTTTTTCCTGGCACTTGGCTGCTTTTCCCACGCAGCGTGCGGGAGTGGCGGCGGCGGCGGCAGCAGCGGGGGTAGCGGCTTTCACCACCACCTGTTCCCCCCGAGCAAGCGCCTGCGGCGGTCGGCCGTGTGGCAGTACTTCGAGGAGCTGGAGGGGTCGCAGGGGCGGCGCGTGGTGTGCAGGCTGTGCGGCGGCAGCACCACCCGCCCGGCCGGCGGCACCAGCAACATGCGCCACCACGTGCGCCTCAACCACCCGCACCTGCTGGCGTCTGTGGCGGCGGCGGCGACGTCGGCGGCCGACGACGCCGACCCGCCCGGCGTCTTTTAAGGCCGCCTTCACACGGAGACACTCGGCACCGCCGCCGAAGCGCCGCGCCCCTTCACACACAGCCACCGACCGTCGCCACTGAGCGTGAGAGTGGAAAAGTTCGTGAGTCGCCGCTGTTGGTGCTGGCGGCCGCGTAGCAGTCAACATGAAGGCAGTGGCGCTTCCAGGTGGCCTGGTGGGAAGGCTACCGTTTAGATTTGTTCAGAGCTGCGTGTGAAGTAAATCCGCTGTTGACGATTCCATCCAAACGGGAGTTTGTACCGTCACTGTAGTGCCATATGAGCTCTCTATTGGTTGAAACCGTCAACAGCTGATTTACATCAAACGCAGCTCTAAATAAATCCCACCGCTGGCGGGGACGCGGAAGCGCGTCAGCGCTTGTGGTGGCGGGAGAATGTACTAACCGCCACAGCAACGCCACTGCACCGCTCGTATGAATATCTCCAGTTAACCCAATGTTTTCACAGCAGAAACCGTACTGGGAAGCGCTGCTGAGTGGTGCCGTGTGAAGGGGCTCTTACGCTACGCTCAGAGGACGCGTGTTCGGGCGCGAACGGCCGACTTATACTGCCGAAATGTATAGTTCACACTGCATGCAGGTAACAGATATTCATCATCAAATCGTTACATGCGGTGACGTAATGGAGTAGGAGAGATTAAAACTACT